CCAGAGCTCCACCTCAGACACACTGATTCAGAGGGTCTGAGAAAGGGCCGGAGGACCTCATTGTTAGCAGCACACCCTAGGCTGGTGATGTCGAAGTTAGAATTCATGAAATAAACTTCAGGAATGACATCCAGGGCTTCTCCCTCTCTCTCTCTCCCTTTCTCTCTCTCTCTCTCTCTCATTGTTAGCAGCACACCCTAGGCTGGTGATGTCTAAGTTAGAATTCATGAAATAAACTTCAGGAATGACATCCAGGGCTTCTCTCTCTCTCTCATTGTTAGCAGCACACCCTAGTAATGCTCCCAGTACTGTTCGAGAGACTACGGATTCCATTTTTTATATGCAATACAAGCCATAAAAAGTAAATCTTACCACAGATTTCAGTCAAAACCATGCGAGAACTAGAGCTGCTTTAAACTCTGTCTAACCTCATTCTCATTTCTCTTCTGATTAAGTTATCAACCTCTAATTTACTCTTTTCACAAGAACACCCAACCTTGTGCGTCCCTCGTAGGGTGGTAGCTTTCTCATCGCTGGAGGGTCTGGTCTGCTCCTCGGCCTTTTTCCTTCTGAGGGCCCTGTCTGACTATTGATTTAATTGCTTAATCAACATTTTACAGTGCTTTTGATCTTATTCTCTGAAAATGTCAGAAGATCCTATTCATTCTGATTATTTTATATTTTATGAAAGTCCCTCTCTAACGTTATTTCACAATCTAAATCAGTGGTTCCCAACGTGGGTGAGAATGGCCCCTGGGGGTGCTGGTATGATCCAGAGGGGCTATAGGAGCAGACAACTATACTTTACCCTGGATCACAGGCTACAGTACAACAGTTCTTAACTGTCGGGGGATGTGTGCGCTGAGTGGTTTTTTTCTAAGGGGGGAAGAGACCAAATAAGTTTATGAACCTATGAGCTAGATCAGTGGTTCTCAACCTTCCTAACGCCATGACCCTTTAATACAGTTCCTCGTGTTGCGGTGACCCTCCAACCATAAAATTATTTTCGTTGCCACTTCATAACTATAATTTTGCTACTTTTATGAATCAGGCGACCCCTGTGAAAGGGTCATTCAACCCCAAAAGGGGTCGCAACCCACAGGTTTAGAACCACTGCTCTAGATCTTTGAGCTGACTCCTGTACATTAAATTATTAAAGGTTTATTTGGGTATGTGTGTCAATGTTTAGGAGCCCTGGTGGCACCGTGGTTAAAGCACTTGGCTGCTTAGGCAAAGGGCGGTGGTTCAAAACCAGCAGCAGTTTCAAAGAATGTGGCAGATGGCTTTCATAAAGATTTACAGCCTTGGAAACCCGATGGGCAGTTCTATTTGGTTGTATGGCCATGCATTTGATTTTTGGTTGGGTGTGTAGTACACATTTCATGGTGTGTAGTACCTCTTTTTATTCACCCTCCTTTTACTCTGACATGAAGGTGCACCAAAAAGTTCGTGGACAAATGGATTTAAAAGTTAATAGCATTTTCCCCATCCTTTTCAAGCCCCCTTGTACGTACTTTCAGATAGAATTCTATACATCTCCCTCATGTAATGGGTTCTTATTTTGGTTCTACCCTTATCTTTTTCTTTGAAAGAAAAAAAAAAAAATCATTCCCTATTAATACACGATGATTTTCTGGGTATCTCTTTGCAGATTTTAAATGAATTACTGGCATTTCGAGGAACTGTAATTGCCTTCTAAGGGATACGATGAACACATGTGAATGTTGAGTGAAGTTGAGTGAAGTCTTTCCTCAGGTATGACTTAAAATATAGAAATCTCTACAATTCGGCACAGTAGGTGATGACGGACGGCCCTAAGGTACTTCAAGCTGCCGACTGAATTATGGTCATGGAGTCTGCAGCTGGAAGAAGCCATTCAGCCTTTAGCCTCTGTCGACTCACTACCTTCAGAGCAGTGTGTCCCAACATGCAGCCTGAAGGCTCCTCGGCTTCCTCACGTGGGCTGTGCGGTGAGAGAGATGAAGCGGTGAGCTCGGAGCGTGTTGCCAGGGCTGGGTTTGTAGTCACTTCGTAATGAGAGGAGGGATCTGACTGATTAAAAGAGGTTTTTGCCATGCAGACTTGTTTTTAAAAGGTGCTCTGAGTTGTAAAATGTTTGTTTTAAGGCAGTGGCCTTCAAACTGCAAAATCAACGTCAGTGATAACTGCTTAGTCTGAAATCTTTACATTTGTTTAGAACACATTAAGTATCGCACTTGTAAGCATTTTGTGTACTTTTAGAGGAGCTATAATAGTTTCTAGGACGTCTTTTACTGTAGCAAAAACATACCTATCTGTAATGAGACTACGGTATTTTCAAAAAAATGTTAATGGAGTTGAGAAATGAAAACTTTATTAATTCTATTAAAGATTCCCAATGCAGAAGTGATTGCTATTCATAAGATTCACTTTTCATGAGTTATGCGGTCATTAATTTAAGACCAATTGTTCTTTTACTAAATCATTACTAATGAGTGCAAAAGCAAATTATACTTTACGTTGACCTTAGTTTTCACATAAAGCTCCGTCTAAATTCAAAGTCTAAGCAAATCTATTTCAACGGATTAAACATGAAGATCAGGGCTATGAGGTCAGAGATGCTGCACACTTCTCAAATTAGGCTAAAAGCAGAGACAGGTTGCAATCTCTTAAAGCTGAAACTTAGGGCAAGGGGGTATCCCAGCAGAATATGAATTTCAAGAGCTCAAGACGGATTTTTTAAAACTTCTCAAGATAGCTTATTTTTTTAGTACCTGTCAATCTCTGTTAGAATTGTCCTAAAACTTCCACAGTATAATACAAAGAAACAGTACAGATGAATGATTCCCCTTTTCAATAACGAGCATTAAAAATGAAATGAAAATTTCTGATTCAGAACTTCACAGAGATATATAAAACATAAAGTTTGGAAACTTTTTATGATGTAGAAGCAAAGCCTTTCTAAACTGCATTCTTATTTTGATAATTAACCAAAAATCTGATAAATACACTTTAGATGCAAACAACAGGTAATTCATTGTCTGCGTGATTTTTCTAGCTTGTTCTAACAAGTTTCACACCTATAAAAGTTACTACTCTCACTTCAAAGACAGAGGCTCTTCTTGAAGATATTATTTTTAATAAAAAGTTACTTGGTATCTCAAATAAATCTAAGAGCTCATCGGATCACTTCTATTGTGGAAATTAGTAATTCCCATATTAATTTCTGAAGCGGTCAAATATATTTCCATGGGGAAAGAACTAGCTTAAGTTTGCTTCAGTGAACAAAATAATGTGCCTCACATGTATAAATGTGGTGTTCCGTAGTAATCAGGAATGCATTTGAAATACTCTTACCATATGTTCAAAACTGAAAAACTTCTTTTCCAAACAAGTTGTGAAAGAAGTCTCACTCAACATGTTTTAGTGTACATGAACTTCATGTGTACAAAACCATGCCATTCTGGCTACTCTAATTGGCCCGTTGGTGGTGTATTATGAAATCACCACCAACTGAATGAAATAATTATCTTAAATAATGTTATACTGACATTCCAAAATGATCAAACCTTATATTACAAAGATCATCTAAAGTCCCCACAAATGCAAAAACACAGTTTGCAACTGTACGTTGCTGTTGATAGTTGACTCAAGTCCACTCTGACTCATGGCGGCCCAAGGGGTAGAAACTACCACGCAGACTAATCTTCAAACTCAATTCCTCTTCAACATCAATACGATGTGTTAGTAATGAGAACCTTATCTAGGCAAACCAAAATAGACAAAGTGCTTGGGTTTTCTTTCATTTTCACTAAGTGTAACATTCATCTTCGTTAATATTACACAGCACCAGATCCAATTTATAAAAATTAGTACAACTAGCTTTCTTAATTTAGCAGCAACCTCAAAGGACCTAGTGTGTGCCTCACAATGGAGGGGCAACCTTGGAAGTGGGTTTGCTGCAGTTTGGGTTCACCATATTGCTTCAAAACCCTCTAAAATTTTCATTGAAAGTTTTACATCTCCAAAGCACACTTTTCAGACACTTGCTGTTCACACAGATCTTACCCATTTCTCCACTGGTAGGGTGGGGGTAACATCAGAAAATGGCACTTAGCAAGTGATCGCTGAGATCACTACACTTGCTCTTCTCACATATATTCAGACTATTAAAATGTTCCTAATTTCTCCAGATATCAAATTTTGAAGAAAATTATGATCAATTTGGACATGGGTATTTGTCTTCTGAATCAAGCTACAACATTAAGTGTCATATGTACTACACTATCCAATCTTCCTTTCCTCACCCCAAAAGTAACCATCACAGGCAATACAGTTTACCCAAAGAAGGAAATCTGGGTGAGAGTAATTAAGTGCCAGGCACTACAATTCAAGAGGTCTTTTGCACCACGCTTCTTTGGGTTTTTAATAATTTGCTCCACCCATTGGCAACATTTCTGAGCCTCCAACCGGTTCATTCTAGTTCACATCTCCCAACCCCCTACTCCCCCCACCCCATCCTACCTGAGAAATGGAAACGGTGGACTCTGAGTCAGAATCTACAGTTTAAGAAGATCCTCAGGTGATCTTTATACAAAGATGTGTGTGTGGGTACACAGCATGGAGATATATAAAGATTGTTTGGGAATCTGTAAGATTCCCAGTAAACTACTGAAAGTCTCAGTAAACTATAGATTCTGATTCAGTATATATGGGGTGAAAATGCAAATTCTTATATTGCCTAGACCTTCTAATCTGTAAAAATGCAAAAATACATTATCGATTAACATCCTTATTTAACAATAAGTTTCCAAGTGACATTTACTTGCAGATAAGCACAAAGTGAACTTAGAACCCAATGCTGAATTCTAAATATTCAGAATCATCCATTGACTTCTGCTGTGAGGGCGACTTCAGGGCTGTGGCAACCCCCAATACAGCACCTTCTTGTGTGAACAAGGACCCTTATGCCGTTACCAATAACAATCCAGCTTCCCTAAACAAAGAGTTTGCATACTTACTCAGGAAGACAAATGGCACGGGAGGCGATGAACTGCAGCAAAGCCTTTGTCATATGATAGTGACCTATAAAGTATCAAATAAAGGTACATCATCAGTATGGTAGGGCTTTACAAGGGTCCTCGTCTTGTAGCACCTATGAAGGAAGAACTCCGAAACCTAGGAGTTCAGTTTCCCATCAAGCCCTCCCCACCTCATTCTCACCACCCAGCAAGAACGTGGGTGCAGGAAAAGGCAAAGAAGCTTCCTGTACTCAATGGGTAGAGGCTGGTGGGCAGCCTGGCTGACATTCCAGGGCGTCTCCAGCACCCTTGCTCCCTACTCCCAGTATATACAAATCAGAAAGTTGATCCACTCTGAAAACGCAAAATCTACACCTGGATTATCCATTAACTTGCCAAGTGATCACCGCCCCCGGGGCGAATACACCAGTAGCAAAATCAGAGCGATAGATAGCAGCCCGAGCCTCCTCCTCCTCCTCCTCCGTGCCCAGGAGCCGGCGGCAAGTGGAAAGGCAGTGCCAGCGGGTCCAGGTAATGCAGCCCTCAGCTCTGCAGCCCTGGGCGGCCAAAGCCGTCACCCGAACGCCCGGCGCCGGTCCCATGCCCGAGGCTGGAGATCGGAACCCACGGAAAACACAGTCGCCAGAGTCCCCCCGCGGCAAGTGCCGGGCCACCAGGTCTGCGAGGTCCGGCTGGGGGAAGCCAGGATCCCGCCCTGGCTTTGTTGCTTGCTGGTCACCATCAAGTTTGCATCTTAGTACAAAATGTCGATCTGAAAGGCTGACAAGACACAGACTGAGGCAGAGGGAGAAAGAGAAAGGGAATAAGAGTCCATCTTGCTTTGGGAAAGAGGGGGGCAGAGGGAGGGGAAAAATGAAGTGCCAATCCCACGCTCCAGGAGTAAAAGTCGGCTAAACACCTTTCCCTAGCGGAGGAGCAACGAGTGGGGTGTCCCCATGCCCGCTAGAACTGGCGGCGGTCTGGGCAGAGAACGCCTCCCTCCTCTTCCTCCTCCTCCTTCCCCTCCTCCC